TGTCGTTCAATCTCATAGAACGTAGTCGTGATGGTACAGCAGAAATTGGTGTGGATGTTTTAAATGCTTCCTACAAAAAGCCAACTTGCGTCCTAAGCTGCCTTTATTCTTACTAATGCCAACCATCATAATAAACCCCAAACTAAAGGTGTAAAAACATGAGGATCAATAAAACGAACCTCTTCCATGCTCGGTCTAGTGTTGGATGTGGTTGCTCTAGTCTTTCCTGGGATCAGTTGTTCAGGTGTTCTATCCATTTGTAGCTCATCCACAATCAAATCAGAAAAGTCGTCTCTGGGAACTTCCTGCTCGGAAGACTTCCCCGAGGTGCTAGCACGAAATCGACCGCTCTTGGCTGCTCTAGTCGCCTCTGGCCACAAGTCGTCTGTCCTTCCTCCATATGAAACGTAAGCCTCTCCCTTAACAATTAAAATTCATTATAATATTTAATACGAACGTTCGAAATGAAAAACCAGATTCGTCGGAAATGCCAGGAAACTGACTAAACACCGACATTGGATTTTACTGAAAAAACTATGGGTTTGTGAACAAAAGACGGCTCGATAGGCTGGTTTGTAACCCTGACATTCAGATATGGAGCGAGATGGAGTAGTGATAGGTGGTGCCGCTCTTACACGAGCGACGCAAGGTTCAGATCCCCTATCCAGTAGGGTTAGTAGGTAAGTAGTATATAACTTTGCGTGTTACAGAACTCGTGATTACCGAACGATAACAGAGACTGGACCCCTTCTTTCAATGGTGATGGAACTCCCTGATGACTAACGCACTTTTGATATAAGCAGAAAGCGGTTTCGCGCTATCTGTGAATGGCAAAAGTAGGTCGTAACTTGTGCCAAATATCACAATTTAGATAAAAATCATAGGTATTGTAGAGAAAAGTATAAGTAGGTAGGTGTCCTCAGTATTTCTGTCCAAACCAGTAATAATAGAATGATCCACTAGAAGCGACAATGTCCAAACCGAAAAGAAAATATCGATTCCGAAAAATGACTCTAAAAAAGCACCTCAAGAGGGAACAAATCTTCTTTCATGAGCTTGTCGTTTACTATCGATTCGATAACCCAAGACGGGTCCACTACCTGCAAATGGTTGGTATGTCGATGACTAAGCATGAAGCTTCATGAAAAAAAAATGACTTTGAACTTCTGTCTCCGAGCTTCCGCTACACGATCCCCTTCACTGCCTCCGATTACATGAGTAACAGCTCGCTGGAAAATTGTCTCTTAAGATCAAGAAAAAGTAACTCCGACACAACTTGGTAACATAATTAAAACTACAATACTAGACAAGGTCAGTTAGTTAAGAATGGAAAAATATGGCTGTCAAATTACCTGATCACCTTGATTCCTTTTCGTCAACTTTTCTTGTACTTCACCTCCGAATTCCTTGATCAGTTGGGCTAATGTGGACTGCAATATTATTTCTCTAATTGATGACCCATAAAGAACTGTTTGGAGAACTAGAATTCATATTCTGCCTTATTTGAAATCTCGATTGCAAACAAAGATTTCCTCGTATCATTACACAGGTGAAATGACACCGCCTGTTAGGCATACAAACATGGGCTTATCTCCCATAAGATGAAAAAGCTTACCCTTTCATGATCGCTAAAGCAACTGATGACAGTCACGACGTTTGAAAACACTTTGCTTTCTCTCACTGCTGGCAACGGGCGAAAGAGAGGATGGCTGTAGGGTTTCAACAATCGATACTCCATCAAACAACGTTTCTTAAAAGAGAGGAACGAAAAAATTGTTAAAAATTAGTGGCATTGTTCAAATAGTTCAGAGGTAACTCACAACCCAGAATACCGTAACTGCATCTCCATAGTTATCCTTGGGTTGAACATGATCGAATTCAATGTTATCGCAGACGAAATAGTCGACAAAGGTAGTTTCGTCGGAGGATGGTACAACTTTGCCTAGAAAAAGAAATGACAGAATTGTGAAGGAGAATACAAAACAAAATCGATAGACCAAATGGAACGAGAAGAAAGGGTGGAAAGGGAAGACTGGAGGACTGTAAAATTACATCAAGGAAGTAAAAAGGGCCACTATCACAAAGACGGCAGTGGAGCCTCGACGTCTCCATCGCTGTGGCCTAGTCCCCTATTCAGACATAGTGGTTCCCTCACATGTAAACTCAGACTCCTGCAAAGCAAACAGAACATGCTGTCTGTACGCCGGTTTTACGGTCTGTTGTAGGAGGGGTAATTTAAGCGGATATTTATAGGAAAGAATCTTGCCTCCTGCTGATTTCAGTTCCTTGACAGTTTGAGCTTCAACATCATCAGGCAGACCGCTGACACGAAATTTTAGCGCTCTAAATAAGGGTACTGTGAAAAGCTCCACGAAAAATTAATTTGCCAATTGAATAAATTGCTAAAAAGAGAAGGGTATAACAAGCAATGATAGCGGACAAAAGGGCAATAGAAGGAGTAGTCCAGCGTCAAATAAGTGTTCTGTCCAGTAAAATAACTGCGTGGAAAAACCGAAAGAACAAATTATCTAAACTGTACGATTGAAATAAAAGTTGCCTAAGAAAATGAGCCCTGCTAGGAAATAACTTATCTCAGCCTTAACTGAGAAGCAATTGTATGGCTTTATCGTTCAATCGTTGAGACGTCCATTCTATCGTAAAAGCAAAACATGATCCACTCAGAATCTTGAAACGTTAATAACGGGTCGACACGGTACCCACTTTTGGAGCTTCTGGATGGACCACCCTTTCATTTTAGTTTTAGAGCTAATAGGCTGGTCATTGGTGGTCATTCTATTGATAGAAGCTCACCGAAAGACTGAAGACAAGTCGGGATCGTCCGAAAGGTTGCCAAGAGGAGCTAAATTGAGATAGTCGGAGGCACCCAAATCTTTTGTCCCTGTTCCTGAACAGTCCGGTTTCGACGAGGGCTCAGCAACAAGTCGCTACAAAGAACTATTTTATGAGAGCATACTTGCATGAACAGTTCAGTGTAGAGATATAGAAAAGCAATACTCAAAAAAGGACAACCAAATTATAGTTCTCACGGTAAAATAAACTACCCTGGGTGTTTCTTCCAACGCCTGTGCACATTCAAAGGATGCAGTCCTACAGATGATGTTGTCGGGATCCCAAAGGAACTCTAAAGCAAATATCGTCTGCATGAAATCACCAATGTCTTAGAAATGAGAGACCTTCTAGGGCCACTTGATCCTTTTCCGCATAACAAGCGGTTATCCATTCGGCTCGGACAACATGGATACCACGAGTTTTAGCTTGAATAAGTCGAGTGCGGTCACCTGGTGACGCATGAACAACGATGATGTGACTGGCAGCTTCCATACCAGCCACGCGAGTGGCACCACTTCTGGAATGAAAAGGAACAGGTTTTGAATTAGTTCATAAAAAACAATGAATACATCATTACGGAGCCGACCGATTACAAACCTGTCAAGGATCTTCTTCCACTTATCTGCACGAGATTGATCAGCACCGCATACCCAAATGCGACAGCCCTACAACAATATGTTGTATAAAATAGTACCCAAAGACACCAAAATGTCTTAACAACAATTGAACAAAGAATTACCTCGAGAAAATCGAAATCGTTTCTCAAACATGTTTCGTCCAACTGATCCACTGGATCAAGAACGGCTGGAGTTGACGTTGCAAGACGATAGCGACTTGGTTCGCGGCGAAGATTGGTGCTACTGAAAATATAATAGCAAATACTGATAGTGAGGGTTTGTTGAGTCATCGACTAAGCAAAATGTAAACCAACCGAGTTGAAGTCATTGGTGTTCGCTCCGGTTCCGCTTCACTTTCTCCATCATGCTTTGTAATTTGTGTATTAAAGGTTGAATTATCCAGTCGTCCTCCTCTACCTAAGTAGCACAAGAAGAGTATATAGAGTTCGGAAGTAATAACGATGAAGCTTCTGGCAAGTACAGAAAGCACGTTGCCGCAGCCGATTATGATTCGCAAGCCATTAGCCAGCATAACCCATTAATTGTAACTCAAATTTAGGGCATTTGCCTCTGTAGAATGAAGAAAGTAGATGGAAAAGATCATCACCAGTCTAGTCAAACTAACCTTGGATAGCGCTACAGTCCAGTTCTTCTGGTTCTACAAGTCGTGAGTCCTGTACTGGTGTGCTGCATCTGTTTCGCTTTTCTGGATCAAAAGCACTGTAAAAATGAATTTTCGCAGGAGTTCTTAGAAGGAGAGCTGAGTTACAGTAACAGTAGGATGGAACCAGTGAGCTCAACGAACACTAGTTCTAGGCAATTCCATTGGAATCGAAATGAAAACCTCTAATGATAACCCTACTTCTCTGAAGTATAAAAAAGCAGACGTTCTACAAGAGGCGATCAATCGAACCTTTCAGGAAGAATGTAGCCAGCCATCACTGATTTACGTAGCCACGTAGAACGCACAATTTTGATCGAGTTCCATTCACGCGCCTAGAAAATTGACCCTATTAGAGAAAAATCAAAACTGTTTAGCTCTATGTATTTCATTCCGAAACGACGGGGCAAGCTTTCGACTCTTACATAGAGTCACTGTTCTTTTTAGATTGAAGGCTTGGGAGGCTTTTATTGAGTACCCATGAAGAATGGTACAGAACATAGCCTATCAAAAACGTTTCTCTCCTCTGCATTCATCTCTGCCACAAATACAACGAGCCGCTTAGATGATAATGTCATCAATCAAGGACGGCATAACTATGAAACGAAAATTGCGATAAGCAGAAATCTTACTGTTGAACGAGTTTTCTTGCCTTTTTGTATTTCATCCCCTTGCTGTGATCAGCAATCAGATGGGTGCACTCGTTCCTCTTCATGTCACCCGAGAAGCGCCCACCATGCAGCTCAATCAGCCTGGCGATGTCCATTCGTTCCCTACCACCAACACCAGTGGCAGTTATAACCTGGAACGTACGACATAGTCGATTCTAGCAGATACAGTAGAGCATAAACCTCAAAAAAAAAACTTCCTAATACGTTCCACTGAAATCAAAATGCATAATTTCCTAGCCTGTTCACTCTCAAAAAACCTGGAAGGAAACAAAAAAACGGTATTATAACACGGTAAGTATTATAAACACGAAGGAAAGCTGGGCTGATAAAAAAAACGCTACCGGAAGAAAAAGTAAGCGGCATCTGCAGTCAGGAGAGGAGATGAAGAATGAAAAGGGAGAAAATCAAGGTAGGAGAAGCGAGCAATGAGAAGGATCATGGAAAAAATATTTTAAATGCAAACCTGTAAGATGGGAAGCTGGCTACTCTGTGGCCTGCACCTATCAGGTGATTGCCCAAGACAGCAAATCGAGACTCTCACTTAGACAGACAAGCCACTGAGCTGGTTTACCATATTGTGAGTACGATGGCCACGACATTAAGAACTTACCATTTTATTGAAGATTGGTGTGCGATATTGTTGTGCCAATTCCTTCGATGTAAACAGGTCAACCGAGAAACGTTGAGCCGCTTCCCATGCCGCTTCGATCCAGCTTGGCAGCATAATTGGCAAACTCATTCGCCGGGCTTCCTGTAGTAACCAGATGTAATAGAGATTGATTCAACATAATTTAGCCCACCACGCCGATCAAAACTTGGGTACCATTTATCGTCATATAAAATTCACAGCCTCTCACCGAAAGTCGAAAAGCAAACTGAACAGGTCGATTGCCGACTGGCCAATAGATCCAAAGTATCGAAAACACATCCCCAGCCTATGCATGAGGCTACCAATAATACTATAACTGTTTTGTAAAATTTGCTGACGAAGGTCACCCTATTACATAATAATAAGAACCCTTGTAAATCCTTCTAGGGTCAAAATCAGAAAGCTAGCAACGATTAAAATGTATTTCGCATTTCTACGGCTAATTTAGCAACCATCTCCCGCTAGAAAGGAGTCAGACGATCGCTCGACGAGGTCTGGGGCAGAAAGTCGCTTACAAAACCAGAGTACATTAAACGATCGTTATATTATTGTAGAGAACAACCACTTCTAAAAATAATAATTGCTCACCGTATACTTCTTGGAGGCGGTGTCACAATATTCTGTGACCAAATGTGTAACTCTCTCAGTCAAACATGGCGACACGACTCCATTCATCCAATTGATTTTCTCTTTCAACTCCTCCTAAGTAACACTTATATAATCCCTCCCGAACAGTAGTTTTACATAAGAGACATTACGTGCCTATGGCATCTACTTGTAAATGTTCATGTGAGCTTGGAAAAAAGACCCACGAGACTCTGAATATTCGAAAGCAAGAGAACAACAATGTAAATAAAACAGACCGACAATAAACAATGTAGAGATGAAATCATTACTTTCACCCTTTCGGGGGATGACCGAGAAGTTCGAACAAAGTACTGAAGGATGATGATTACCTAGGGATGACCGTGAGGAGAGACAAAAAGAATCACAGGAAAATCAAAAGGAGTTTAGAAATCGAGGATTGTTTAGCTGTTCTCCATCGATTCCTCCCAGAAACCAACATAGAGTGGGCTAGCAGCTCCAAAACTTACCCGTCAAATTGTCCCAGCATTTTTCGGAACTTTTCAATTATACCACAAAAAATATAACGCTTACAGTTGGCAGTCAAACAATAAGAAACAAGTCTAAAAAAATCTTACGCGTCTATCGAGTGAGAGGCCTGTGAAGCAAACACACGCTCCTGTCATGCTGAGTGCATATACAGGAAAGTCCCATCGTGGCAACGACCCACCATTATTCAACGTTTGTCGGACAACGTGCACTCCATAAAGGCTGAAATGAGTAAATTCAGAGGAACATTCTCTGACAACATGACAGAAAAGCAACGAAACATTATCATTGCAACTCACTTCACTTTCAACTTCTTTAAATGTTCAAATGCTTGACCACGAAACGCTGGCACAAAATAGAAGCTATCATTTTTTGTGGATACTTGCAAAGCTTTTTCTTCAGACAACCATACCGCTCCTACACCGTAATCGTTCAACAACTGAAAAAAAAAACTCCATATCTCGGAATTATTGTATGAATTAAGGGCAATAATGATTCCCCAGCTAAAATGACCTACATTGAATGTTTCACGGTAATACTCCTCTTCTTCGTTTGTAATGGTTGGGTCATCGGGCCTCACGCAAAAAACATCTACTGGTTCACCTATATTTTCTTCTTCACCGTCCTGAAAATTTTGCTCATTAGATTTGCATAGCAATCTAAAAACTACAAGTTCTAGGCAAGATGGTCAGACGCACAGGCAGTTCGAGACAGCCTGCAGAGAAATAGCTATAATCGCTTCTTCTTTTCAAACTGAGCTTAGAATGGTCATGACTGGAAATGATTGGTTTTTATTGGCACTTGCACAGTATTGAATAATGATTTGAAGCGAACAGCTGTGCAATGCAGAAAGTCTTAAGACCACACCGCCCCCCTTGCTGCCTCTGCGATGGCTTGGTACTATGGCCACAAATATAATAACTAAAATGCCTTACGGGAACCATGCTCTTTATCTCTTACACTACCCTTATTATACTTCATGCCTTGCTCTTTATCCCTGGACATCTCGCATAAACTATGCGAACTGAGAAGAGTGATATCGAATGCGCATTCACTGCCTAACTACGGGCGGAGCAGGAAAATTTGCTATAGAGGATGGAACTCAATAAGATCGTAACGGTTTCGAACGTTGGTAGTGAAAGCCTAAAATAAGTGGAAAACGACTTCGCTTTCAGAGTTGCTCCCACTCATTCATAACAGACCGCTAAGCAAAATAGGCAACCGACTCATCTATTTCAAATAAGGTCAAGCCATTTTCAGCCATTGCTTCTGTGGTAACAACCGAGCTCATTGTCACAGTTCATGATCAGTGAGCTAGAACCTAAAAGGCTGCTTAGATTACCAACCTATAGCTTATATTAAGAGCATATATACAATGAAATATATTAGTTTCTTGATCACAATCTCTCTGAATCCTTCGTCTGCTAAATGGTCTTTGATCGGAGTTGCTTCTGTTCCCCTTCACGAATGATTTCAAAAGTTGCACATAAAGACAGAACACAATAAACACCTGTGTTGTGATGGGAACACTCTCTACCGATCGACGAGGTTTTTTCGGAGCCCCCGGTGTATTCATCTGCTGGAAAGATGCATAATCTGTTTTGGTATTCGAATGAAGCTAGATCAAGTTGAAATAGCAGATGTAACGAGGACATTCANTCTATTCCCCTTCACGAATGATTTCAAAAGTTGCACATAAAGACAGAACACAATAAACACCTGTGTTGTGATGGGAACACTCTCTACCGATCGACGAGGCTTTTTCGGAGCCCCCGGTGTATTCATCTGCTGGAAAAACGCATACTCTATTTCGATATTCAAAATGAAGCCAGATCAAGTTGAAATAGCAGATGTAACGAGGACATTCGCCATTAATCAATGAACATCTCATACCACAGTCTTTATCCAAACACAGCACTAAGAACAATTTCAATCATTCATTACTTACAAATGATAGACCTGTAAAGAGGCAAGGGCAATAGTGTCTACCACATTTTGATGAGTACGTACAAACTGTTCAAGAACTAATGCATTTAAAAGAAAAGGATGGCAAAAAGCGTAAAAATTATTAAGCAAGCCTAGCAGCATAGAAATCTAACCCGAATCATAGAATATGAGATGATAATTCAGACATGAATTAAATCATGACTCCACTTGCTTACGAATTTCATTGGTTAGTTCATAGACTTCTCCCTTCCAGCGAAATTTCGTAGGAAAACCATGTTCGTCGAAGGTGAACAGAGGGAACAGTTTATCAGCGGTTTTCGACATTATCAAACCGTATTCCTCAAAATGTGCCTTGTGGTAGAGCCGACCATTACTCAGCATCGACAGTGAGGTGGGCTGAAATCGGAGCGAAGATAGAGTGGAGATTTCCAATTGCATTCGTTTGCATATTATTCAGTTAGAAGAGAAATGCATAAGATTATAAAGTTCCGGCATATACCCTACAATAAAGAGGACCAAGGATGATTGACGTTTCTGGAAGTGACACCGTTACCAAAATGTCACCGTGTATTCGATCTACGAACTAAAATTCCTACGAATTTTATGATGATACCATAAACACACCTCAAAAGGATACTTTCGCGTGGATTGTCCGATGCGCATCATTGTCCCATTATCGACAATTTCAGTGAAAACTATAGGCCGATCATCGCAGCGTAGAAAATTATGCTCCCGACCGCATCGACTCACGTATGGAAAAGAATCCTAGAAGAACTGCCTTGCTTTCAAAGAAAGGTACAATGTTCGAACCCATCACCTGGTTGAGACCTCGAGCTCAAACTACTAAAATTTCACTACTTTACACTTCAAGAAACTTCTGGGCTTCATCAAAAGCTCACCCTATAGCGGTCCGTATCGTTTAGTCGTAATTGCTTATAAAAGAAATTCAGAAAATCCGTATCTTAAAACGCGGAATAGTTAGAAAGCATTCAACACCAATGAGTGCTATGTCACACTTGACTTCTCTGACTGACTGTAATATAACATAAAAACAAAAAAAAAACAAGGAAAATAGGGTAAAATGCTACATTCGACTTTCAGATACACTTACAAACCCTTATAAGCAGATGTGAAATTCTTCGACCGCGAATCGTCGAGGAACAACATCCCTTCATGACTTATGTAGTAGAAATATTCTCTGAACACATCAATGTTCAAAACGTACAACGGCCAGCACTTTTACGACAAAGGAGTTCTATGTTCAACAAACCTTATCTTTCCAACATACTGCCCCTGCTTATATGCTATATTCCTACAATTCGTCAAGAACATTCTGTAATTAAATGGTTAAATGGTCATGAACATATAAATAGCTCGCGATGCTTATGGAGGACACGCAAACTGAAATTCCATATTTGCCACTTAGGCACTTTCAGGATATTTTCATCCTGAAGGATGTGGCATCACGTTCGTTTAACAGAATAGATATTTACTATTACTATCTTTTTTCTTACGAGTGTCGGCCGCATTTCAAATCATGTCTTGGGCAAGAGGAAAGTACGGCTCTGAATCGCTCTAGAATTCATAGTATGAAATGGATCAACCACTGCCACAAAACAGCAAACTGATAACCTAGACTTTATCTTCGAAGCTACAAGCTATAAAATTACAAATCCATCTCTTAACAAGCGTATCAGATACACGCTCACGAAATTATCTAGATAACAACTACCAAGCGCGGAACGTAGACTTCTTTCCTTGTTCTTTGTCGAACTCTGGATCTTGTGCCACCTAAAACATAAACAATTGACTCAATGTATTACTATTTCATTCTATGTTATTGTTTGTTTCTCTTCTGCCACATTCGGGCGCACTCTTATGAGTGTAATAAATACTTAATTCTGAAATCCCAATTAGTCAGATACATGAGTAATTCAATAATTTCCAACTGCGACAAAATTGACGCAGCATTAACTGGCTGGTTTAGAAAGTTCCTAACACCAGAGCATTGTGCAGAAGTATGATGATCACGTAATATGAGTCATTACAAATGCAGCCTTTACACTCATTTTAGGACTGTGAGAACATTTTGAAACTCCCGCTAAAGGAAGATGTGGTAACCCTTTTATATCCAGAATTTCGACTCTTTCACTTCCCCCATAAGAAATGTCACGTGATTCAGCACTAACTTGTCACCTCCTTCGAAAGCTTGGTCTGAAACAATACAATGGTGACAGAACACCTAGTGAACTCGTTAAGTACACATCAATACCAGAAGGTAATTGATGTTAGCCACAAAAGGAGCGATAATGTGATCTTTCGTAAATTGAGACCCACTATGTGATCTTTCGAAGAGTCAGACCCTCCCCTCCCCCCTTTGCAAGGCATGAAAAACTCTCCGTGCTATACAAAACACCTCCCGATAGCCTGTGAAAGACTGTTCTGCAGGAAAGTATGATTATTTGTCACAAGACTTGCTCTTCAAGAGCCGCACTCTCGTCTGCCTACACGAGGTGGACACTGCAGACAAAAGATGGGTGACTCAAATAAAATAAAGGGATAATGAAAGCTCTATGATATAAATCAACCAGTTACAATATCCCTTTTTTGGTCAGTTCCTTTAAATAGAGCTCATGAATTGATGACAGCAGATTCTAGGAAGGACAAACACTAATGAGTGAACAAATGAGATATGGACAACTGCTACAAATGAAAGCTCATACGGACTAATCGCAAACCTTTTTGTAGTACTGCCAATCTTTAGACAGAGGCTTGTCTCCTTCCAGGGGTGATTTCGACAAGAAGAACTCGTATGGTGGTTCGTAATGCTTCTTGTCATGCCAGAACATACCCTTCTTCCAGAAGGAGTGGTCGAATTCTCCATTAGCTAGTTTTTCCTGAAAAGGCAATTATCCAAAACGTTCAAAGCAGCAGCTATTGATGAAACATTGGTAGTATTAACCACTATGGACTTGAACTTGAATGGTAGTGCGAAATAAGATAATGACAAGTTCGTGATTAACTTTCCATTACAT